AGCATCAAAATGGAATATTTAGGGGAATTTTCTAACCTGCTTTGTAATTCAGTGGAAGGTAAAATATAATTTTGGAATCTTGCAATTTCCTGAAAGATGGCAGTTTCAGTTTTACATGAGCACTTAGTACAGTTTGCACCCCGTGTTTTGTATCTCAGTGTGGGGCTGATTTAAAGCAGACCTTTAGAAAGGAGACACACAATTGAAGTTTAAAGGCTCCCATTGATCCACCACATGGTTCACTGAGTTCCTGTTGAAAATGTGTATCTTACCTCTAATCATTCCCCCCGTTCTGGATTAAAGGGCAATCCATGTTCAGACAGACTGAGAAGGTCTGGGTATGTCAAAGGAAATGATTTTGCTATGAAATAATACGATTTGGGAAAACAACTCTTGCTTCAAATGATTTTTGGTACACTTTTAACTTCAAAAATTCCTTTTGGCTGAATCATCATTGACAGTGCCATTAATCCTGATTATTGTTAGTTATTGAATGTTATTTCTAATGAAAATTTTCATTGCCTTTGAAGCTGAGGTTTGCTCCTTCCTAGCACAAAATAATCACATGAGGGCTGAGAGTTCAGAGCAATGGTCTGTCATATTATATAGCTCTTGGATATCATTAACCAGTTATTTGATAATTACTTCCTAATACATTTTGAGCTCTTTGTTAAAATCATTCATTTAAAGTTCATAAAACTGTCATACAAACCGTGTTCTTTAATGTCTTGAAGTTCCATTTTCATGAATAAAACATATACACATTAAGAGTTCTCAAGCCTATACTTTAAACTCTTAGAAATTCAACAAGTTCATTAAAAGTACAATCTGAGGAACTGTTCAACTGAAGTGACTTTGCTGCTACTGATTCTCCTGGATTTCCTCTTGATGTTTTCATGGGTTGCAACCCTCAGATCCCATGAGCAGGAAGCTCAAGAGGTCCCACAACTCTGAATGGTGGTAAATGAACATCAGAATAGGTGGGCTCTGAGCAAAGCCCCTGTTGAGATACCAGTGGCTGAAAGCCAAAGCTGCATGAATTCCAACACAGTGCAGAGTTCCCTGGGCGAGACTGACCTGGAGAACTCCATCACTGAGATGTTCTTCTGAACGTGCAGTGAAGGCACCCCAGGGTTTGTGCACAGAGTGCCACGGAAATGACACAATTATTTACACACCTGAGGAGTTCCTTGTTCCTGAGCCTCCTCCCCAGCTTGGGAGAGTTTATCCATCCGTGACAGAAAAAGAGCAGGTGCCTTATCCCTTCCTGTGCACTGTCCCCTTGGTCATGGGGGCACTGTCTCCAGTGTTCCTCCTGCTCTTCTCAGCAACCCAGAGGACATCTGTCTGGATCATGGAAAGGAGGATATCAGGGCTTTTTGCTAAGGTTTGGAGACTGAGATTGTAAGATGTTTGCAGTCCATCATGTGGGGTTGGCTCAGTGGGTGCAGTGGGTGAGTATGTGTGACACCACGGTCCACTGTGAGGTTTGTGGTGAGTCTGTTCATTTATTCTTCTCTCTAAGTGGTCTGGCTGCTGAATACTCTGCTCCTCAGTCTCAAAAAAGGGGAATGTGGACTGCACATGAAAGCTAAACAGTGCCCTGGTAGAAAGGTTTCACTAATCATTATCATGATCCATCTAAAAACCCAATCCAGTTGG